AGAGGGAAATAACTACGCCAGTTTTCACTCCCACTGTCAACATCAGAATACTTCACCAACACTTGATATTATTTGAAATTTTTGTTTTGCCATTCTGTTGGCTATAAATTGCTATATCCCTTTTTAATTTACATTATTTAATTCATACTGAAAGATTTCTCTGAATTGCCTTTTATATCCTTTGCTATATTTTCCACTGGTTTCCTCATCTCGTTGAGTTGTGTGTGTGTGTGTGTGTGTGTGTGTGTGTGATTTGTAAGAAAAGAAAAAAAAAACTTGTATATTTCAGGTCAGTAGCTCTCAACTGCAAGTGCAGTTCACATATACCCTGCACAGATAGGGTGTCCCAGAGATCCATTCAATACGATCACAGGTCAACATGATTTTCATAATATTTCTAAGACTATCTTTGCCATTTTCACTGTATTAACGTTTGCACTGAAGCCACAAAAAAATGGTTCATGAAGCTGCTAGTCCCTTAGCACAAATCATGAGAGTGGCACCAAACTGTGCTATCATAATTGAATTTATCTCTATCATTCACATGTAAGGGTAAAAAAAGAATATCTAATTCATTCAAGAATGTCCTTGATGAAGTAGTAATGATAACTAATTTTATTAAATGTTTGAATGCTTTGTTAAGTCTTTAATATTCTGTGTGATGAAAAAGCAATTACATATAAAGCACTTCTTCTGAGTACCGATGTGTGAGCATTGTCACCAGGAAAAGTTCTTGTGAGATCATGTAAGTTTCAATATAAACTACCTCCTTGCCCACTTTTTTGGTATCATGTTTACTTCAAAGAACAATTGATAAACCAACCATAGCTCTTCATTCCTGGATATTAGGCAGACATTTTCTCGAAAGTGAACAAAGCAATCTTGCCACATCAAAAAAAAACAGCTGACAGTATTTGCTGCTAGTAATAAAATTAGAAATTCCAAGTGAAAACTAGAATGATGGAAAACCTGTAACTGCCAGGGTGAGCTTGATAGTTTACAATAAGTAAAAACTTTCTGATGAAGTTGGTGGTAATATTAATTAATATGATTTTTGATATTATATAATAAAATGTATCATCACTTAGAGAATCTGCATAGCTCAGTGAGCCAATATTTTGCAAATGTCCAATGCATAATGTTATAAAACCTTACATGGATAAAAGATCCATTCAAAATGTGGAGATAGACCAATGGATTTTTACATAAGAAAAGTGAGAAGTTCATTGGTAGATTTCACATTCCATGCAGCAACTAAAATCGAACAACCTACCTATGTTAAAATTTAAGAAACAGGCTGAGTGTGGTGGCTCACGCCTATAATCCCTGCACTTTAGGAGGCAGGAGCATCACTGGAGGCCAAGAGTTTGAAACCAGCCTGGGCAACCTAGAGAGAGCCCATCTCTACAAAAATAAAAAATAAAAATTAGCTGGGTATGGTGGCATGTACCTATAATCCCACTACTTGGTAGGCTAAGATGGGAGAATCACTTGAGCCCAGGAGTTTGAGGTTGCAGTGAGCTATGATTGTGCCACCGCTCTCCACCCTGGGGTGACAGATCAAAACCCTGTCTCAAAAAGCAAAAAGATCAAAAACTAAAAATCAAACCAAAAGCAAATGGTCTAAGAGCTTTCTAGGTGGCAAATGGTGTTAAGTTTTTTACATGCATATATCATATAATCTTCACCTATAATAATTTTATTCAAACCCCTTTTACAAGGCAGGAACTTAAATTCCAAAAAACTTAAACAAATTGTCCAAGATTATATAAGCACGAGGTGACAAAATCAGCACTGAGACTCATTGATCCTGTCCTCCCTTTTCCCTACCCTTAGCATATAGGTTCTAGGGATTTTAGATCCAGGTTATTCTTCTTCCTGTTTATATTCATTCAGGGAAAATAGTTCTCTCAAAACACTTTAGAATGCGTTTTTTTTTTTAAAAAAAAAAAAGTCATATCATGTTCCTACAACCCAGTGGAACAATAATTTCCCTGAACCAGATATATAAATGAAGATATTTTATTTCACATCCCAGTATCCATCAAGTTCATAGAGAATAATTTAGGAATTTCACATGTAATCCTCAGTAGACCTTTAATGTATGTGGGATGGTTCATATAGGCAGAATAAACCTGAGATCACCATTTAGCAAAGAGATCAAACGATGGTATTGGAGCAGGGTTTACCTGCTGGAGGTGTTTGTAGTGGTGGTGTTTCTAAAATTGTGTTATTACTTTCCTCCAAGGCTTAGTTTATTTCTTACAGAAACATAAATTCCTGGCATTAAATTTGAGTATGGGCCGGGCGCTGTGGCTCACGCCTGTAATCTTAGCTCTCTGGGAGGCCGAGGCGGGCGGATTGCTCAAGGTCAGGAGTTCAAAACCAGCCTGAGCAAGAGCGAGACCCCATCCCTACTATAAATAGAAAGAAATTAATTGGCCAACTGATATATATATAAAAAAAATTAGCCGGGCATGGTGGCGCATGCCTGTAGTCCCAGCTACTCGGGAGGCTGAGGCAGAAAGATCACTTGAGCCCAGGAGTTTGAGGTTGCTGCGAGCTAGGCTGACGCCACGGCACTCACTCTAGCCTGGACAACAAAGCGAGACTCTGTCTCAAAAAAAAAAAAAAAAAAAAAATTTGAGTATGACCAAAATGATGAAATCTTTGCCCCTTTATACTGAATTCATTATTATCCAAGCTTAATAGTGCTAGATACATGAGAAGTCAAAAGTCTAAAACCCAGGAATTACTAAAACTTAGTGATCCAGAACCTGTATCTATAAATAAACCTTTGGTCTTTATTTTGTGTTTAATGAAAGTAGCCTGAATATTTAATTTCAGATACCTACTAAATGTAGGTTGGGTGATTCTTTACTCTTTGGAATTCTATTTCCCTAAAATATATATTCAGAGCTTCTAAGTATTAAAGCAAATAGAAATCTTTTAAAACATCATTTCTAATGATTTAGAGAAAAACATGAACTCAGATTTTTATTTTTATTTTTTGATCCTATTATACTTTTACAATTTAAATGTTAGAAAATTAGCATATAGCTCATCAGCCAAAACTCTCGCAGAGATAATTTGGCCGTCTCCAAGAGGTATAAACAAGATAATTGAAACAAGATAAAAGATAATTGAGGAAAGGAATTCTCAGAAACATCAAATGTAAAACTTGGCCTCCAAAATGAGGGGAAACATGATTCGCAGTGTCCACTGTTTACACTGTGTGTATTGGGAGGGTTTAGGCCATGAAGGGTCTCAGAATTAAAAAAGAAAAACTGTCATATCTAAGGTACTTAAAGAATCTTGCTCTTCCATAGCAATGTACTAATTTACCTAACATACTAAAGTGTCTTTCAGAAATTCCCTATTCCAAATTGCACAGTTAAAACTCCAAAATCAATCTTTAGAGGACTAATGGAGATAAATATTAAAAGTAGTAAGTAAAATTTACATTCATGAGGGATGTTTTCTTTTTGAGCCTCCAAACAATAACGGGGCTAAAATGTATTCATGTTCGCAATTATTTTAATGTCTGAGCATTGAAATGATAAAAGCAAAAATTGGCTGTCTGAGTCAATCTACTCAGCATTGTTAGAGAATAAAAGGAACCATCGACCCAAACTTTAAAAAAAAAAAAATAGATATTATGTTTAAGGTCTGTGTTGTAAGAGTGAAAGAGGGGCATGCTCACTGGCTAAGAGGCTGGGGACTACCCCACCCAAGTTCTTTAACTCGTCAAAATTCAAGGCTTTCTTTATATATGAGAAAGACCTAGAATCGCCTTGTGAGCAGCACTTGGAGGGGGGCCTCATGATGTTCAGGGAGGGAAGAAGAGACTTTGGGAAATTCAGAAACTGATTGTAGAGTGGCTGGTTTCATCAGGCACACTCTGTACCCTTTCAAATGTTAACTCTCAGAGCCTCATCCTAGAGTAGAAAAACCCTAATCACATACAGAAATCTGAGTGTTTTCTGGTTTGCTCAGGAAAATAGTCTGTGAATTATTAACTTACTATTGCCTTATGACACATTTAATTTTTTCTGATTTATACTGGTGGAGAGGGGCACTTTATAGCAATTTATTAAGAACATTGAAACAAAACCTTTCTACTAAGTTTAAGATTTTACAGACATTACAAAGGCATATTATAATGAATGGAGCAAACTTTAATGTTTACCATATGTGAATAAAGCATTTTTTTCTACACTGTAGTTATTTAATTTAATTACATGTCAAAAATATTTCTTTACACATAAGAATATTAAAAATTTTATTAGATATCTATTACTCCTGCAGTAGACTTCTGTAAAGTGATTTGGAATAGGGGTGTATGTGGAGAGAAAATCCTGGTTAGAAAGTTTCCATGTGATAAATTGAAGAGAAAAGCAACTGTTTGGTGAAAAACTAAACTAACTCCAGAGAATACAGTATAAAGATCCAGAAACTGAAGAGACATTATATTTTTGTTTTTGACATCATCATTTTCTTTGTTTTCTTATCTAGTAATTGAAGATCTCAGTGATATTTTCAGGTTTTATTTTAAATGGAAATTTCTAGAAGCTTAAATCACTTTAGACACATTGACAGTTATGTTGACATTAGAGTTTCATACAAATGACACTGAGGTTATTTTGACAAAAGAATATTTCCATTTTTCAGTTGACTAAGTCACACTTGCATAGCATAATCAACCAAATGCTTTCTATACTTATATTTTTGGGGTACATTGCTCTTATCAAAACCTGTCCACATATATTGCTTTACTTTAAAAAAGTATTCCATTGTAGAAAGAGATTTTGAAGGTAAAGTTAATATATGCCTGTTTTAAATATTTATTTTTTTTAAAGTATAAGAAAATTATTAGCTTTTCATATTATTTTTAATCTAAACTATTATAATAAATCAAAATGTTCTATTTCCAAAATCAATACTGTCAGTATTAATCTTAAAGCAATGAGATTATTGTTGATTATGCCTTTTCTCTTCAGATAAATTTGCAAAGAAAAATGAGAGTTACTGGAGTGATCACTCAAGGAGCCAAGAGGATTGGAAGCCCAGAGTATATAAAATCCTACAAAATTGCCTACAGTAATGATGGAAAGACTTGGGCAATGTACAAAGTGAAAGGCACCAATGAAGACATGGTAAGATTGACTTAACCTACTTAATTTAAAAGTAAAATCATTGATTATCAAGTGACAACAGAGTATTCCAGAGAAGCCTTATATAGAAAATAATTACCGATACATTTTGTTTTTAATTTGACTAGTAGCTTTAAAGAAGAAGGACTTTTTCCAAGTTATAATTTACAGTGGCTGACATTTAAGATTTTCTCAGATTGTAATTGGTGATCCTACAAAGTTAGCTTTATTGAGCTCTATTTTAACAACAGTCAGCTTTCAATTTTATTTCTGTTGCTTTTACAAATTAGCACTTTTCTTAAATAAGTGCTGGTTCCAAACTTAAAAGCACCAAATCATAGAAAAGATATGTATATTTGTATACTTCATATTACAAAAAGATTTTTGTTTAGCAGAATAAAGTATTTTAGAAGTGGATATAATGCTCAACATTTCCTTTCTTTTTCTTATGATATTCCCAATTCTTTTATTAATTCTTCCTCAAAAAGTTTAACATTAAAAATATCAGTATTGCAGATCTTCCCTTAAAAAGAAAAAGCATTATACTAGACTCGAATAAATTGTATAAAAGGGTTTTTAAATTGATCTCTTAAATGAATTTAAACTAAGCGAAGTAACACAAGAATGGAAAAACAAGCATCACATGTACTCACCAACAAATCGATATTAATTGATCAACACTTATATGCACATAAGTAACATTCATCAGTTGTAGGGCAGAGGAGAGGGGGAGGGGAGCTGGGTATACTCCCACCTAATGGGTGCGGTGTGCACTGTCTGGGGGATGGACACACTAGAAGCTCTGACTCGGGTGGAGCAAAGGCAATGTATGTAACCTAAACAGTTGTACCCCCATAATATGCTGAAATTAAAAAAAAAAGTTTTTGAATTATCAAGTTTACATAAAAGGAAAAATAAGAATGAAATTTAAAGGAATACAAAAATGATACATTTTAGTACTTCATTTCTAGTGGGAAACATAGTTATTCACTGGAGATATATTTAAAAAACCTATAATTCTCTTATTCAGTGATCTGGGACTGATTGATAAAGATGTAATCTTGATGAGTCAAACCCTTTAAAGGATCATAAATCTGATTATAGCATTAGAGAGACTGGTCAGAAAGCAGTAGTAAAGACTATTTCCTACCCAACAACGTATAAATACTCGGTAGCAAAATGAACAGACTGAGAGTAACTTGAAAGATTTAAAGTGCCTATTTGTAAAAAAAAAAAAAAAAGAAAGAAAGAAAGAGAGAGAGAGAGAGAGAGACAGAGAGAGAAAACCACTACCCTGGCTCTGAGGGGCTGGCCTTAAAATTGACAAAGCCATCATAGTGGAGGATAGATTATGCCTTAGGCCACAGTGGTTTGTGGCTTTCATTAGGATTTTATGTATGGGTTTTATATTCACTGCTGATGGCAGGGTGCTTCTGAAATGCTCCATGCTCTCAAATTATTTAATCCAGCCTTTGAAGGATTATTTTGGGTAATGAATAGGGTCAATGTGTGAAAATAGGTAAAGAAGCTGTGGCAATTAATAATTCAAAACTCTGTATTCTGTCTTTGCACAGGTGTTCCGTGGAAATGTTGATAACAACACACCGTACGCTAACTCTTTCACACCTCCCATAAAAGCTCAGTATGTAAGACTCTATCCCCAGGTTTGTCGAAGGCACTGCACTTTGCGAATGGAACTTCTTGGCTGCGAACTGTCAGGTGAGTCTCATATTACTTATTTCTGGTATCTCTCTAAAAAAGAAGTGTATTTGTATGTAGCCTGCTACTAACCTGCAAATGCAACACTCATAGACATTTATTTCTTCTCCAAAATGTCTACGACGTGGTTCCTTGGGAACCCGTGTGTATTTATGTGTGAGATAAACAAGTTCTAAAACATGTTACCGGGTAAAATTAATACAGAAACAGTAATAGATTTTGTTGAGTGGTCAAAGAAAGTGCAAGGGTTTCTCATGGGAAACTACAGTCAATTTGAAATGTGTCTCATTGTTTTTGGTAGTAACTGTGATTTATGTTTTGTGACAAAAGTTCAGTAAAAACTGGAATCTGCCCGACCTCATAAATTGCAGTGAAAGTTACGCTGTACGGCACAGAAAATTAAGCTTTATTTTTGTCCATCTACCATAAGAACTTTTTTTTTTTAGGTTTTATGAAACATGTAAATTTATCATTACTCCCAAGAGGACACTACTTCAATACCAAGATTGCTACTATAAATTCATTCTTGGGTCATTCTTAGCTAGCAACCTGCTTATTGTACAAATAGTGGTTATCCAGCTTAAGGATAATCTATCAAAGGACTCAGAGTTAAATATTCTCTTCCTCCAGAGCATCGATACTAGATTTAAAGGTGAAGACTTAATATGTGGATCTTACAGTGGCCTCATTTTAATATAACTAGATTATAAGCTAAATAGAAAATCTTGTCTAGGCATTTCACTGTGTTATATTTTTAGTGGATGTTCCTGTAATTCTGGCATCAAAATTTACAACTATCCTTGCTGCAGTAGCCTGAAGTTATTTTATTTAAATAACTGTGAAGGAAACTAAAAATTCATGTGGGTGTCAATTTTTAGTATAATGTTAAAGTGTGGAAAAGCCTTTACCAAACTTTAAACAATGCCATTTAGTTAAAAATAGGATGACAAGTTCCTGCAAAGAGATAATTGTGGACTTTGTATTCATTTCAAAAACTTGCTAGGCGGGGCATGGTGGCTCACCCCTGTAATCCTAGCACTCTGGGAGGCCGAGGCAGGCGGATTGCTCCAGGTCAGGAGTTCGAAACCAATCTGAGCAAGAGCAAGACCCCGTCTCTACTATAAATTCAAAGAAATTAATTGACCAACTAAAAATATAGAGAAAAAATTAGCCAGGCATGGTGGCGCATGCCTGTAGTCCCAGCCACTCGGGAGGCTGAGGTAGCAGAATTGCTTGAGCCCAGGAGTTTGAGGTTGCTGTGAGCTAGGCTGATGCCATGGCACTCACTCTAGCCTGGGCAACAAAGTGAGACTGTCTCAAAAAAAAAAAAACTTGCCTATAGGTTAAAGTCCATACTTTATATTTGTTGCCCTTCTTAGACTTATTTGTGGTGCCTAGAAAGGGACTGATTTGTAAGCAAAACAAAGTTACTATTAATATTAAAAATAAACCCATTACATTTCAAGTAACTAGAGTAATTTGGCCAGTTGAGTCAACCTATTTTAAGAATCACATTTTCATATTCCATATTGGGTTTCTTTTGTTTGTTTGTTTTGTTTTGTTTGAGCAACCAACATGCAGTTTTAGTACCATTAATTATTCTAACAGAGATCCGTTCCCTTATTTTGGTAATTCAACCAGTCCTATTGACTGCCAATCAATCTTAGCAGAATTATTGCTATACAATGTTTGTATTACATGTCACTATATCACCACAGGCCAGTGTCATCCCTAAGCCATTCATCATAAAGCAATCAAGAGTAAGCCACAATATGATGAGGTCTACTGCAGGCTTCCTGGTTTTTAGTTACTGAACATCACCTTCCCCAACTTTTCAGTCATTTGATTCATGAAGATCAGTCTTTCATACATGGCGCAGTTACACCCCTAAGGTGTGAGTATATTTTATTTCCAAGTTTGACAAGAGGATACGCCTGACACTTTACAGATTTTATTTTCTCAAAAAAAAAGTAGGGTCCTGTCTCTGAACCCTGCAAATTGATTTTGAACTTGCATGCAGAGAGCAGTGTCTCTCAGTGGATGCTTTTAAAAGCTGGGGCACTTCACTATAGAAATATCAGTTTCATTAATACTTCATTTTGAGCAGGTGCTGTCCACACTGGTAAAAGAGTTAATTAATTTAGATGCATGAAATCATATGGGTAAAGAGTAAAAATAGGATGAGGCACATTGGCAGAAAGGTTACCTAGAACACTTAGAAATAAACACTAATGTAATGTAAAGGACTATTTCCCAGAGACCAATGCAACACTGTAAAGCCCAAGGCTGCCTTATTGTATTCAGTAAATTGTTATAAGATCTTTGGGCCTCCACAGAAGATCAGCAGTTAATCTCTTCTCAGATACTTAAAAAGATCATCTCCTAAATCTCTGAAAGATATATGGAGATATTTCATTCTAAACATCTTTATTCCATTCTAAACTTAAGATGTTTACAATATTTGTGGTCATAATCTATTTCATTCTAAACTTAAGATGTTTAGAATGAAATAGATTATGACCATAATTAGAGGACAAATACTCATCCATTCATTCTTTGAACAACTAATTATTTGGATAGTCTTCTGGGCTAAGTACTAGAGATCAGAATGAGTATGAAATGAACTTTATGGTTAGGCAATAATGGTAAAAGTAAAGGCATTCCTCTTCTATTCAATACTTCATTATTATGTTATATCGCAAAAGGAGAAAAACAACTACTTTTTCTTTTGCCTTGTAAGCAAAGTTTTTCTTTGTAAGCAAAATTTTATAAAGACTTGGTGGGAGAAATAGAGGTGGAATCAGGGATGGGAATAAAAGAACAAGTCAGAAGTCTATAATGTAAACAATGCATGATATTTTGGAACTGCCTGAAGATAAACAGCATGCCACTATGGCTAACAGAACTTTCTAGAATCTTTGAGATTTGTTATGACATTTTTGTTACCCAGAATTTATATTCAGGTTTTAGAGCTCTTTTTATCATGGAACCTAAGATATATGTCTCCTATGCCAAAACTCACTTGTGCTAATAAACATAATCCTCAATTGTCATTTTTTGTATGTTTGCATAGGATAGGCATTTCCTAGAAGATGGAGGTAAACATGCAGTAGCCTCCAGAAGGAAGAAGTGATCTATGTTGACCAGGACAGAAAGCAATTAATTGTAGTTAAGAATTATTTATCAATGAAGAGTTCTAGATCATCTCTTTTAGAGATTAGACTTAGAGTGGTCTAGTTTTAGAAACTGCAAACCCAGACATACGATATTCTTTAATGCTCACTAATATGCTAATATTGGGGGACTTAATATTACTGTCTGTTGGAATGAGTTTTACCAAAATAATAAAAATAGCTAACACTTACTGAGTGCTAGCTATGTGCCATCGCTCTTTCTAAGTAGTTTATATCTATTAATTAATTTCTTAGAACTCTTCTTTGAGGCAGTTTCTATTATCACCAGTCTGCAGAAGGGAAAACTGAGACACAAAATGGTTAAATAACAGGTACAAGACTACACAGCTGGGAAGTGGGAGATCAATAAAGCATGAGAAGAAGGTACTGTTTTGGTTAAAGTTTCACCTTTTTATCTTTGCTTCCTTGATGATCAAACATACCTTAAGAGTTTCTTGGCCTAAATGAAACAGAAGACTCAGCCACTGGCTCATATAAAGATAGCATCATGCTTCCTATTACAAACTTTGTAAATGAAATTTTGTCACAGTTGCAATTCATGATTGGTAAATTGTGTGTATATGTATACAGACACACACACATACATACACACACACACATGCACTATTTTTCAAAGATAGGGAAAACCAAACTTTGCACCATATTAAACTTGAAACTATATGTAGTAGATTTGAAAATCTTCTTGAAATATCTAAATTTTAGAGGTTATTGAGTATGATTGAAATATAAGAATTTATTAAGAGCTTTATTCAGTAATGGTCTTTGCCAGAATTTTCTTACTTTCTTCTATCTATTAGTTTACATTCTACACTTGTGCAATGCCTGACACATGGTCACACTGAGTAAATATTAGCTTCCTGCCTTTCAGAAGAAGCTATGTGGGTGCTATAAGAATCAGTGTTAAAGATTAACATATTTCTTGAAAAAGAAAATGCTGTCCAGTTTAGAATACAATAGTGGAGCAGTTTGGGAAAATGACACTGTACTGAGGGAATTTTCATTTGCAGTATTATGAAAACAAATAAAAGAAAAACAAATATACTTTGTGAGAAAATGTCCCATTTTTAAAGACACAATGAAACTCTTGAAAACTATGGAACAGTCATGAGGCTTCTAGTAATGAGACAGGAGAGATCATTTCAGCATTGCTTTCATTTTGCAAAATCATTTATCACAGAAAAGTAGTTTCAATTGTCTGTCTTGTTTTCAATTTTTCCAAAATATATTCAGACAAAATAGCCTGAATTGACTATCTTGTTTTTCGATTTTGTTTCAGATTTATTTCTGATTATAGCCTTTTTTTAAAATTTAGATGCTCTCCCTTTGGGGGAATGAATAGCATTATGTTTAATCTTCTCTTACCTATCGAAAATGAACACAGAAAAGTTCCAGGATAATAAATTATTTTTCTTATAGGGCCCTTCTCATTTTCTTTCAGGCTGTTCTGAGCCTCTGGGTATGAAATCAGGACATATACAAGACTATCAGATCACTGCCTCCAGCATCTTCAGAACGCTCAACATGGACATGTTCACTTGGGAACCAAGGAAAGCTAGGCTGGACAAGCAAGGCAAAGTGAATGCCTGGACCTCTGGCCACAATGACCAGTCGCAATGGTTACAGGTAAAATTTTCCAGAACTATTTCACCACCCACTGCTTCTCTTCTTTGGTTAGGTGAATTTGGGGGTCATTACCTTCACATTATTTTAAATGTGACTTCATGTTTGGTTTAGCCAGTTTAATAACACATATATTCCTTATAAAGCCTTATCTATGGGTTATTTTTACTCTGGTGTTGATTTATAGATGCCACTGTCAGGTTGATGCTGAAGATTGTACCATATCACACTATGTATGTGTCAATTGATCGATTAGGAGAACATTTGCATCTTAACTCTCATCTACTCTAATGCTTTGCCTTAATATTGCTTTTGAAAGCATGACAGCAGGAATTTAACAGGCATCGAAATCATGCCACTGACCTGTAGATTGTTCTCATAGAATCGTGACTCCTGACATACTGGCTCTTTACCTGTGGTTGCTAAGCAATGGAGCAATTTGATTACACATTCTCCTACCAGAGCTTGCTTATGGAAGGAAACCATAGATACTGCAGAGTCTATTTATCATTTGCAAATGAAGTAAGGTTACAGTCAGTGCTCTTTAAAACAATCTTCATGAAATTCACTTTTCTGTGGAGCACTTTTGAGTATGCACAGGTTTGTTAATGTCTTTTGTGGCAAAGAAAAGACAGACAGCTCAGTTCTATAATACAATCACTTCATTTGAAAGATAAGAGTCCTACTCGTTGATATTGATGCTGTATCCTTAAGTTTAAAAAATGTAATTCATTTTATTCCTGGAAATCATGAAAATAATTCAAATAGCAATCAAACTAGATTTGCCAAAACTGAAACTGTTCTTAGCAGGTCACCTGAAATTTGTAGTCCCTTTTCAATCTTTTCTTCACTGGGGATTACTTTTCCTTATTCTTACAGTTAGAAATACTCACTTTTTTCTTTGCATTCCCTTAACGTTCTCTCCGCATCTTCATTTATCTGGAGCCTTATTGAGTTCTCTCATAAGCTATCATGCATTACAAATATAATTATGTATGTCTTTCTCCTATTTCTGTTCTATGAACTTTATGAAGACAGGGGTATGTTTTTCTATATATCATCCCAGCACCCAACCTGATGTTTTTGTCATGCAAATAGCAGTGCTTACTAAATTCAATCATTTAGTTAACAAATGTTGTGGGTTTTTTTTTTTTTCTTTCTTTTTGGAGAGACAGACCTATGAAGCATCCCATAACATGATAAATAGTGATGACACATGAGCAAGCAACACACTGTTCATGCTCTTATGACATTATTACCGACCAGGCGCAGTGGCTCACGCCTGTAATCCCAGCACGCTGGGAGGCAGAGGCAGGAGGATCGTCTGAGCTCAGGAGTTCAAAACCAGCCTGAGTAAGAGCGAGACCCCGTTTCTACTAAAAAAACAGAAAAAAAAATAACTGGACAACTAAAAAATATATAGAAAAAAAAATTAGCCCGGCATGGTGGCACATGCCTGTAATCTACTTGGGAGGCTGAGGCAGTAGGATTGCCTGAGCCCAGAAGTTTGAGGTTGCTATAAGCTAGGCTGATGCCATGGCACTCTAGCCTGGGCAACAGAGCCAGACTCTGTCTCCAAAAAAAAACAAGACATTATTACCTCTTGCTTAATGCATTCCTTTTGTTTGACTTAGGTGACAACCAGACTTCTTTTCCTCCATCCTCCTAGCTGATGTTTCCCAATGTCCTTTCTGGTCCACTCTTCCTCTGCCTGTGGTTTTTCTCCTAACTTCTCTCTCACCAATCCCAACCTCTCAGATTAACAAGTATTGGTGATTTCAATATTAAAATATGGATTTAATCCGCCCGGCTAGCTCAGTCAGTAGAGCATGAGACTCTTAAAATATGGATTTAAGTACCATAAAAGCATTTTACTTCTCACCACTTCCGTTGCCACTTCCATGATCGTGGTTACTACCCTCTTTCACCTGGGTTTTTACAGAAGCCTCTTAATCAGCTTTCCTTTTTCTGGTTTTACGTTCTAAAAATCTTATTTCTTAAGTAGTAACTCACACATATTCATGTGTGTGTGTGTGTGTGTGTGTGTGTGTGTGTGTGTGTTTGTGTGTGTTTCCTGAAATGCAAATGTGATTCTCTTACTCCCTTATTTAAAACCCTTCAATTCCTCCCTCTCAGCATCAGAAGAAAATGCAGTATCCTTAATATAGCCTGAAAGGAATTGGCCCTATTTCATCTCTTACCACACTTTTCTAAATTTGCTTATTTCTCAAACCAAGCTCTAGCTCCCTCTTCCCATTTATTTACAAATGTCCTCTTCCTAGAGGAAAAGAAAAGAAAGAGCCCCTCTGCCCACAAATTTCTCAGCCTTCTGTTGTTTAAGTCCTTCAGCTACAGTTTGGACATACCTTTCTCTAGGAAGGCTTTCTTCTAGGAAGGAGGCCAACTTCATCCTACTCCATGTCTGACTTAAGTTCTGTCCTGTATACTACCATCTCCTCTGTAATTCTCTCACTGTACCAGTTCTCACACTATACTGGAAATTCTGTTTTTATGCTAGATTGCTTGCTTCATGAGGGCTAGGGACACACCTGTATTGTTGAATTTCTTAAATTGTTGGCCAGCACCTAACCAAATACTTGTCACAATACCTGGGCACATGGTAGGCATTTTATAAAGATTTGTTGAATGAAATAATTCAAACTAGAAGTTTGGGCCAGTACAAATATAAGTTTGATCCCCAATTTAAGAGGTCAACTGCTACATATTCTCAAAATTTTAAATTGTATTTGAAAAAGAAATACAAAAAACTTATGTCAAAGAGATGGCCTTTTTTAAATACAGAAACTAAATTTCCATAGTATTCGAGTCATTTCTCAGATTAAGGAAATATAGTTAATATTATTGGTGATTCATAATGCTGTGTGGAATAAGGCAAAATATTTTATAACCCACAAATAGCTCAGAAAGGTTAGTAGACCCCAGGAATATCCACATAATGGGACTACCAATGGCACATTTTTTTAGAAAGATAAAAATAAAACAAATATTTTTAAATGAATCATGGTGTAATCTTTAGTGTAAACGGCCATTCATCACTCTAAGATGGCTTTTCAACTGTCTTATTCCAGTCATTTGCATGCTGAAATTGATTCATTTTGTCAATGACAGATTTTCTGTCAATTCAAGGACCAGTTCTTCTAGTATATGTCATATTTTTGTTGTATCAAAATATAATCAGGCCGGGCGCGGTGGCTCACGCCTGTAATCCTAGCTCTCTGGGAGGCCGAGACGGGCGGATTGCTCAAGGACAGGAGTTCGAAACCAGCCTGAGCAAGAGGAGACCTCGTCTCTACTATAAATAGAAAGAAATTAATTGGCCAACTAATATATATAGAAAAAATTAGCCGGGCATGGTGGCACATGCCTGTAGTCCCAGCTACTCGGGAGGCTGAGGCAGGAGGATCGCTTGAGCCCAGGAGTTTGAGGTTGCTGTGAGCTAGGCTGACACCACGGCACTCACTCTAGCCTGGGCAACAAGTGAGACTCTGTCTCAAAAAAAAAAAAAAATATATAATCAGAATCTCCAAGGCAAAGTAAATGGATATCTTCTGTTTTATTTATTTATTTATTTATTTTCTGACATCATGCAAGAAAAAGCTTCAGAATTTTTTTTTAATCTTTTTTGTTTCAGCAAATTATGGCAGTAAAAGTTTTAGATTACATATGTTGCCCTTGCCCCACCCAAATCAGAACTTTAAGTGTGTCCATCCCCCAGATGGTGCACACCACACCCATTAGGTGTGTATATACCCATACCCTCCGCCCCTCTCCTACCTGCCCGGCACCTGATGAATGTCATTACTATATGTGCACTTAAGTGTTGATCAGTTAACATCAATTTGATGGTGAGTACATGTGGTGCTTGTTTTTCCATTCTTATGATACTTCACTTAGTAGAATGGGCTCCAGCTCTATCCAGGATAATACAAGAAGTGCTAGATCACCATTGTTTTATTGGCTGAGTAGAACTCCATGGGATACATATACCACATTTTATTAATCCACTCATGTATCGTTAAAGCTCCAGAGTTTTGGCTATTTTAGTGTTTTCCCCTCAAGAGAATATAGACCGTTCAACTCCACATTATTATGATTGTTAGTGTTTCTATTGAAAATAAAATTAATATTTTTTATAGATAACTATACATAGGATGATTTTGTTTTTGAGTTTTTGGTATAGAGGTGTTATAGAAATCAATTTTTATTCTGAATTTATGTATAAACTTAGAGGCTTCTGAATTTATATATTTTAGTTGTATTTTTAACTAAAATGCATCAATTCTGAGCAATAACTCTTCAGAAGAAAAGCCATTTCTGTCTTTTAATTCCCTTTCTTCATCATCAATCTCTTGCTAATTAACTTTTTAAGAAACTGCTCTTTATATACCATCTAAAATATCACCCTCGAATAAAGAAAATTTTATTTTAGCCTAATAGGTTTTTCTAAAACCTAATCAGGTAATATCTGGAAATACAATTGTAGTAAATGAAGCTCAAAAAAACACCCTTATGGCTAATCATGATATATTTGAAGGAATTCTTATGTGTCCTTCTAGAATTCATATGTATTCAACCATCATGTTAACATTTTATTCTTATTATTACTCTAATGTTTCTTCCAATCTCTTCTATAAGATGAAAATGTCTGGAGCTTCTCAAGTAAATGTTCTTGTGTTATTTTTTAGAAGTGATCATATCTCACTGATTAGCTTTCTTGAGTTAGTGTTAATCATAAAATCAAGCTATTCCTATATGAACATGGCAACAGTGTGTCAGGTTCACAGGCAGTCCTAAATAAGAGGCATTTCTCAGACTTCTGAAAGAATGTTGTTCAATTACTCTCATGTGTATGATGTTTTCTAAAACTTTAAAATTTAACCAAAACTTTCAGCAAAAAGCCCTACCAATGTGTTTCCAAGTCTCCCAAAGGTTAAACTGCAGTTTCTGCCTTTCAAAAAAATCTTGCCTACATTTAAATGAAC